GGTTCAGATCCTTTTCAGTATTTACAACCCCTTTGCAATGGAAGGGCACAGTTTTAAGAGATTCACTGATTTGCCTGAAGTCAGAGTTTGACCTGTGTCTCATTTGTTTCTAAATCCTTGTGTAGTCTTCTTCGTGTCACATGCTGCTATTCCTAATCACTAGGGACAGGTGGAAAAAAAAAGGCTTAATAACTAATGTCAAGTAGGCCAGGATTTTCCTACATCAGCGCTACTGACATTTTGAATGCAATAATTCTTTGTTGTAGGGGGCTGCCCTATAGGATATTTAGCAGCATCCTTGGATTCTGACCACTAGAGGCCAGTCGCATTCCCCTCTGCCAAGCTGTGACAACCAAAAATATCTCCAAATGCTCCCAGATGTCCCCTACTGAACAAAAGTGCCCCTGGTTGAAAACTACTGTGCTTTACATATAACATACAAATACATGGAAACAACCACCTAAGAAGAGAACTTTACAGAAGGCATAATTCTCTTCAAATATTTGAAAAATTTCCATATAGAAGCAGGAATGGATTTGGCATGCCAGGGAGCAGACCTATACCCAGTGGGTTCAAGTGGGTTCAAGTTAATAATAAAATCAGCTAACATTTATTCTTCCTATGTACCAGGCACTGTTCAGTACACTTTGAAGTATTATTTCATTTAGTCTTCACAATAACCTTGTAAGGTCAGTAGTACTGGCCCCACTTTACAGGTGAAAAAGCTGAGGCTCAGAAGAGAATAGTTAAAAGAATTTGCCCAAGGACCAAGAGCTAACAGCAAAAGGCAGAACTCGTACTCAAACCAAGGTCCAATACTGAGCCCAAGCTCTTAATTGCCAAGTATTATGACCATGACAAATTAAGGATTTTACCTCAGTAAAATAAAGAAAATAAAGAACTTTTTGACTTAAAAACTGTTTCTTTCATATGGAGATTTCTTAAAGAACTCAAAACAGAACTACCATATGACCCAGCAATTCCACTACTGGGTATCTACCCAGAGGAAAAGACATCACTATACAAAGAAGACACCTGTACTTGTATGTTTATTGCGGCACTATTCACAATACCAAAGTGATGGAACTAACCTAAGTGTCCACCAATGGTTGACTGGATAAAGAAAACGTGGTATATATACACCACGGAATACTACACAGCCATAAAAAAAGAATGAAATCAGGCTGGGCATGGTGATGCATGCCTGTAATCCCAGCACTGGGAGGCTGAGGCAGGTGGACTGCTTGAGTCCAGGAGTTCAAGACCAGCCTGGGCAACATAAACAAGACCCCATCTCTACGAAAAACATTTTAAAAATCAACCAGATGCTATGGTACACATCTGTAGTCCCAGCTACTCAGGAAGCTAACGTGAGAGGATCACCTGAGCCCAAGAGGTTGAGGCTACAGTGAGCCATGATCACACCACTGCACTCATGACAGAGTGAGACCTTGTCAAAAAAAAAAACAAAGAAAAAAAGAATGAAATAATGTCTTTCGCAGCAACACGGAGTTAGAGGCCATTATCCCAAGAGAACTAATTCAGAAACAGAAAATCAAATACTGCATGTTCTTACTTATAAATGGGAGCTGAATGATGGATACACACGGACATAAACATGGAAATAACAAACAGTGGGGACTCAAAAAGGAGGAAGATTGAGGGAGGTTGAAAAATTACCTATTGGGGCCGGGCGCAGTGGCTCAAGCCTGTAATGCCAGCACTTTGGGAGGCTGAGACGGGCGGATCACGAGGTCAGGAGATCGAGACCATCCCAACATGGGCTAACATGGTGAAACCCCGTCTCCACTAAAAAATACAAAAAACTAGCCGGGTGAGGTAGCAGGCGCCTGTAGTCCCAGCTACTCGGGAGGCCGAGGCAGGAGAATGGCGTGAACCCAGGAGGCGGAGCTTGCAGTGAGCTGAGATCCGGCCACTGCACTCCAGCCTGGGCGACAAAGCGAGACTCCGTCTCAAAAAAAAAAAAAAGAAAAGAAAAATTACCTATTGGGTACAATGTTCACTATTTGGATAATGGGTACACTAGAAGCCCAGTCCCCACCAGTTGGCAATATATCCATGTAACAAACATGCACATGTACCCCCGATTCTAAAATAAAATTTCTTTAAAAAAAAAAAAAAACTTTATTTTGCAAACAATTATTTCCGCAGCCACCATCTCAATCCTATCTCTCCAGATCAGACCCAGAAAACCTGCCTTCCTTTGTAACTTTCAGGGAAGTCTGCTCTGAACTCCACTGAGCCCCTGTACAATACTCAATCCTTCCTATTTCAAGTTACTCAAACTTAGTAACATCCAACTTAGATGACAAGCTCCATGAGAGCAGGGGCAAGCAGCTTCTCACACATATTACACACTCCCATACAAAGCCTTGCACATACTGGGGCTCAATAAACACTTTCTAAATAAATGTTCCTGAGGCCGAAAGCCTCCCATACCACCCCTACCCTCCAAAGCCCACACCATGAGGGATGCTTAAGCAAGCACCTTTAAGAGATGTGATTCTTGCATTAGAGCTGAAGATTTTATTGGATATGCTCTGAGTTTTTTCCAACTCTGAGAATCTGAGTCAGGAAAAGGCAGAAAGGGACAGATGAGAGGCAACACAGCCTTCCGGCTACATCTTCAATCAAGCTACCAAGGACTCCCTTGACTATGACCAGAAATCATGTGTCAGGGACTACATCTATTTATGTGTGTACGTATATGTATATACACTTACATGTACACATATACAAATACACATATACATGTATATCTGCAAATGCATATCTATCAGTTCCCTCTGTAAGAAATTAAGCAGACAGGCCAGGTGCAGTGGCTCACACCTGTAATCCTAGCACTTTGGGAGGCCAAGGCAGGTGGATCACCTGAGGTCAGCAGTTTGATACCAGCCTGGCCAACATGGTGAAACCTCATCTCTACTAAAAATACTCTACTAAAAATTAGCTGGGCATGGTGGCAGGCACCTGTAATCCCAGCTACACAGGAGGCTGAGACAGGAGAATTGCTTGAACCCGGGCGGCGGAGGTTCCAGTGAGCTGAGATTGCACCACTGCACTCCAGCCTAGGAGACAGAGTAAGACTCTGTCTCAAAAAAAAGAAAGAAAGAAAGAAAGAAAGAAATTAAGCAGACAAACATCTACAAGGTTTCTGAGGCCCTGAAGCCAGCACAAGGATGTACAAATAATCAGGAGTCTCTTTCTTCCCCTGGTATATGAACGAGGTAAGGCACATAATGCTCTAAAGTAACAGTCCCCGTAAAACACCAGCACACCTGCCAACCAGTTCTACCTCCCTCAGGTATCAGCGTCTGACACCCTTTCAAGAAAGTACCAAGTGGCCAAGCCCTGTTCCTGGAAGAAATGGGAGCTCATATGTGTGAGATGCTTTGAAGAGATGCTCACATATAGTGGAGGAGGAGAAGGAGAAGCATACTTTGCAACATTAAATATTAAATTGGAGGCCACCTGTCAAGAGAAAAACTCTAAATAGAATTAGATTTATTTGAGAGCCCAGATTTCCAGGCTATACTTCCATTTCTCTTAAAAAAAAAAAAAAAAAAAAAGTTATGCCTAGTATTTATACAAAGTAGAAGCCCATCTTCTTACCATATCCAGCTAGTGGCAAGTTCTCTGAGCTAACCTGAGGGTGAAGTGGATGGAGAGCTGGCTGAGAATGCCACAGAGCAATCAAGCAAACACTTTGCCCAAGGGTCAAACTAAGTGGAACAGTTGTTGACGGAAAAGTCGTGCCATAAACCATTTGTGGTCTCTCCTTAACTTTCTCAGTGTTTTTGAGCAGTAGAGAGAGGACAGGAACCACCAACACAAGTTTTTCCTACCATCACTAGGTTTTTTACCACTGTACCTGGGATATTCTGGTTCTTTCCTTCCTAACTTCTATCTCCATCAATAGCATGGCATCTTCGCCCTTCATGTGCAACCAATCACCACCCAGTAGAGGCAGAGATCTAACTATCCAAAAAATGCATTCAGACAGATAAAACAAGAGCCAGTGCAAAATAAAACACATCATCACCACCCAGGAAGCTTGCAGGACCAACCACAAACACTCTCTTTCAATTTACAGACAGGTTTTTCCTTTTTCACCTGACTACTGACTCGCCCAACTTGGGATAACCACCAGTCAGAAGTTTTTAAATGCATGTATCTCATTCCAGGGGGCCAGGTGTAAACCAAGGCCAGTTGAAAACCGGCGCCATTTAATGAGATGTGGGTTTAAATGGGCCTATTTTTTTTTAACCTACCATTGTAGAGCAAGAAGTGAGCTTGGAAGCCTGCAGTTTAGCGCTTGTCACCAACCTTTTTTCTAAAGTCAAGGCAATTAGGCCCATGACTGTTAAAAATCTATCTCAAAGCTCTTGTCCTGCGCACATCAATCACAGTCACGGCTGAAAACAAACAGAATTTTAAAAATTTCTTTCTCCACACCCAAGGACAAGTGTGAGGGCAGCCGAGAAATCATGGCGACAGGAACAGCCGGTGTCCAAGGGGGCAGCTGCTTCTGAGACCTGCTTTGAGACGGACAGAGAACCAACCCGAGGTACTTTTCTCTCCCAATGTCTCTCCCTCGGCTCATTCACCATATTTTGGTCCAACAAACTGTTTTTCTCCTTTGAGAGGTTTATGGCGAGGGCAAGAGGGACTGAAGGGAAGCGAGGGGGCGACGCCAGGGATTTGTTGCTACACGTAAAGCTGGAAAACGTGCAGCTGTTTACTACCAGCGCCCCGTAGACTCAGAGCGCAGCTTGCAGCTGAGCGCTCCCCTCGGGCGCCGACCCCGCCTCCCCCACCGTTCGTGCGCCTTCGGCTTTGGAGGCGACGCACCACCTGCCCTCCCCGACGCGCTCGCAGGACGCCGAGCCCCCAACCAACGCCGCGCGGGCCCCCAGGGCATCAGCTCGGTCTCCCCTCAGCCCCCGCGCCCACGCCGCGCGCCGCTCACACCAAGTTACCTCGGAGGCCCGGGTTGTCGTCTCTGGCCCGAATCTTTCGGATTTTGACGGGGCGCCCGCTCAGGGTAGACAGGACCAGACGTTGGCGCAAGAAGTTGCACCCCGCGTAGCTGAGGGAGTTCGCCTGAGTCGCCATGTGCGCGCCCTCCGCAGAGACCTGAGCAGCCCGAGTGCGGCGACTTCGGACAGACGCGGGACCCGTGACCCCGGCGGTGGTGGTGGCTGCGACACCGACGGCGGCGGCTGGGGCTGCCTCCCGCAGCCCCGACGCGTCCACGTGGTTTGGAACAGGAAGACGGAGAGACTAGACACCGGGTCAGAGGGGAGCGGGGCGGAGCCAGTGGCCACCTCCCCGCCTCCCCGCCCGACCGGGGCGGCCACCGCGCCGGGCCACGCCGCTATTGGCCCGCGCCGGATCAGGGCGGTGCCCGCGCCGCGCCTCCATTGGCTCGCGCTGAAGCTGGGCGGTGCCCAAGCCGCGCTGCCATTGGTCCGTAGTGGAGCTGGGCGGTGCCCGGGCCTTGGCAACAGCGCGCGGCTGGAGGCAACGCGTGAGGGTGGCCCGGGAACCCCGGCGCGGGAGTTGCCAGTCAGGGCAGTCTCCTTTGGGTACCTCCTGGCGTGGTAGCAAGGGGAGATGGCGGACTGAGATTGATGCCTACGACGTGCCGGATTCTTAGCATCACTACTTACGGCAACTACTGGGGTGAAGATGCTATTATCTACCCCTCCTCTTTCTTTCTAAGAGAGAAAACAAGGGTTGGCACACTCACCCTATCGCAAGGATGCTGCTCAGCGCACTGCCGGCGCAGTCCCCCAGCTCCATGCTGTAACCTTGCAAGGTAGAGCCATCCTGTCTTATGAAGAAAGGGTCGAGGAATATTGCAAAGCTGACAGTGGCAGCCTGTACTGAGACCCGAATCCTCCCACAGCAGGCCGTTGCTTATTTTATTAAGAGACACCTCTTTGCCCCTTTCTCACGGGTCCCTTCGTTTATCGTCACTGCGTTTCATGGCAATTCAGGCCCTCCTACCTCGCATGCCTCGAGATAGATAGTTGTAATAACTTCCCACGCACACACACGCAATGATTTTCCTTCCCGTCCTCCTCCAGTCCTGCACAAGAAAATCTTCCCAAACGTTGGATTGTTTCACTTCTCTACTCAAAAACCTTCTAAAATTTACAGTTAACTAACAAATGGGCCGGGCGCGGTGGCTCAAGCCTGTAATCCCAGCACTTTGGGAGGCCGAGGCGGGTGGATCACGAGGTCAGGAGATCGAGACTATCCTGGCTAACATGGTGAAACCCCGTCTCTACTAAAAATACAAAAAACTAGCCGGGCGAGGTGGCGGGCGCCTGTAGTCTCAGCTACTTGGGAGGCTGAGGCGGGAGAATGGCGTGAACCCGGGAGGCGGAGCTTGCAGTGAGCCGAGATCACGCCACTGCACTCCAGCCTGGGAGACACAGCGAGACTCCGTCTCAAAAAAAAAAAAAAACTAACAAATGACTACGAAAGTAGGAGTCCAATATCATAGTAATGTGGGTTTGTAGCCATTCTTGGACAACACTCACCAGACCATGAGTTCCAGAATGCATGGGGGTGCTCGGGGTGGGAAGGGGGGCTGGGTATGATAGTGTCTGAAAGAGGTGGGAGCTTAAATAAGATTAGGGATGTAGCTAGCCTTATGTAGAAAACAGTGTGTTATAAAGTGGAGTGTAATGGCATGCTCATGACTCACTGTAGCCTCAACTTCCTGAGTTCTAGCAATCCTCCAACCTCAGCCTCCCCATTAGCTGGAACTACGGTGTGCGCCACCATGCTCAGCTAATTTTTGTATTTTTATAGAGATGGGTTTTTGCCATGTTACCCAGGCTGGTCTCAACTCCTGAGTTCAAGCAATTGGCCCACCTTAGCCTCACAGGCATGAGCCAGTACTCCCAGCCTTTAATCCATTTTTCTTTGATTTTTGTAAATGGCAAGCGATAGAGATCTAGTTTCATTCTTTTGCATATGGATATCCAATTTCTCAGCACTATTTATGAAGAGACTGTCCTTTCCCCGACGTATGTTCTTGGCAACTTTGTCGAAATGAGTTTACCGTAGATGTGTGGATTTATCTCTGGGTTCTCTGCTCCGTTCTACTGATCTATATGTCTGCTTTTATGCCAGTACCATGCCATTTTGTTTACTATAGCTCTGTAGTATATTTTTTGAAGTCAGGTAATGTGATTCCTCCAGTTTTGTTCTTTTTGCTTAGGACAGGTTTAGCTATTCTGGGTCTTTTGTGGTTCCATGTAATTTTTTTAATTTTTAATTTTTGTACCTAGAGAGTACATGTATATATGAGGTACACGAGAAGTTTTGATACAGGCATACAATGTGTAATAATCATATCATGAAGGATAGGGTACTCATCCCCTCATGCATTTTATTTTTTGTGTTATTATTAAACAAAACAGTTATACTGTTTTAGTTATTTTAAAATGTAAAATTGTTATTGACTACAGTCACCTTGTGCTATCAAATAGTAGATCTTACTCATTCTTCCTATTTTTTTGTATACATTTATTATCCCCACCTGCCCGCCATCATCCCCACCGCCTATATGTTTTCCAGTCTCTGGTAACCATCCTTCTACTCTCTACCTCATGAGTTAAATTGTTTTGATTATTAGATCCCACAAATAGGTGAGAACATGTGATGTTTGTCTTTCTGTGCCTAGCTTATTTCCCTTAACATAATGATCTCCAGTTTCATCCATGTTGTTGCAAATGACAGGATTTCATTCTTTTTTATGACTGAATAATACTATATTGTGTGTATGTATCACATTTTCTTTATCCATTGATCTGTTGATAGACACTTTTATTGTTTTCAAATTTTAGCTATTGTGAAGAGTGCTGCAACAAACATGGGAGTGTAGATATTTCTTTGATATGCTGATTTCCTTTCTTTTGGGTATATATGCAGCAGTGGGATTGCTGGATCATATGGTAGCTCTATTTTTAGTTTTTTGAGGCACCTCCAAACTGTTCTCCATAGTGGTTTCACTAATTTACATTCCCTCCAACAGTGTACAAGGGTTCCGTTTTCTCCACATCCTCACCAGCATTTGTTATTGCCTGTCTTTTGGAAATAAGCCATTTTAACTGGGATGAGATGATATCTCAAAATGAGTAGTTTGCAAATATTTTCTCTCACTCTTTGGGGTTGTCTCTTCACTTTGTTGATTTTTGCTTTGGTTGCCTGTGCTTGTGGTTTATTAATCAAGAAAAATTTTGCCCAACCAACGTCCTGGAGATTTTCCCCAATATTTTCTGTAGCCATTTCATAGTTTGAAGTCTTAGATTTAAGTCTTTAATCCATTTTGATTTGGTTTTTGTATGTGGCAAGAGAAAGTGGTCTAGTTTTATTCTTCTGCATATGGATATCCAGGTTTCCCAGCACCATTTATTGAAGAGATTGTCTTTTCCCCCATATATGTTCTTGGCACCTTTATTGAAAAGGAGTTCACTGTAGGGTTATAGACTTTTTTCTGGGTTCTCTATTCTATTCCATTGGTCCATCTGTCTGTTTTTATGCGAATACCATGCCATTTTGATTACTATAGCTCTGTAGTATAATTTATTTTTATTTTTATTTCTTTTTTGTGGGGGACAGGGGGACATGATCTCAGCTCACTGCAACCTCCACCGCCTGGGTTCAAGTGATTCTCATGTTTCAGCCTTCTGAGTAGCTGAGATTACAGGCATGTACCAACACATCAGCTTATTGTAGTATAATTTGAAATCAGGTAATGTGATTCCTCCAGTGTTGTTATTTTTGCTTAGGACAGCTTTGGCTATTCTGGGTCTTTTGTGGTTTTATATAAACTTTAGAATTTTTTTCCTATATCTATGAAGAATATTATTGGTATTTTAATACAGATTGCTTTGGGTAGTATGGATATTTTACTAATATTGATTCCTCCAACCCATAAACATAAAATATCTTACTATTTTTTGTGACCTCTTCAAAATCTTACATCAATATTTTATAGTTATCATTGTAGAGATCTTTAGCTTCTTTAGTTAAGTTCATTTCTAGGTATTTTATTTTCTTTTAGCTGTTGTAAATGGGAACACTTTCCTGATTTTTTTTCAGATTATTCATTGTTGGCATAGAGAAATGCTACTGATTTTTGTATGTTAATTTTGTATCCTGCAAATTTACTGAATTTATTAGTTCTAATATTATTTGGTGGACTTTGGGTTTTTCCAAATATAAAATTGTATCATCTAAAAACAAGGACAATTTTTTCTTCTTTCTTTCTTTCTCTCTTTCTTTTTCTTTCCCCTTGCCTTTTTTTTGTTTTTTGTTTTTTTTTTTTTTTGAGACAGAATCTCACTCTGTCACCCAGGCTGGAGTGCAGTGGCATGATCATGGCTCACTGAAGCCTCAACTTCCCAGGCTCAAGTGATCCTCCCACTTCAGCCTCCCTAGTAGCTGGGACTACAGGCATGTACAGGCATGCTCCACCACACCCAGCTAATTGTTTAATTTTTTGTAGAGATGAGATTTCACTATGTTGCCCATGCTTGTCTCAAAGCAGTCTGCCTGCCTCGGCCTGCCAAAGTTCTGAGATTATAGGCATGAGCCACCCACACCCAAGGGTAATTTGATTTCTTCATTTCCTATTTGAATCCCCTTTATTTCTTTCACTTGTCTGATTGCTCTCGCTACAAACTTCCAATACTGTGTTGAGTAACAGTGGTGAAAGTGGGAATCCTTGTCATGTTGTAATCTAAGGGGAAAGGCGCCGATGTGGTGGCTAACACTTATAATCCTAACATTTGGGAGACCAAGGCAGGCAGATCACCTAAGGCTAGGAGTTTGAGACCAGCCTAGCCAACATAGTGGAACTTCACTTGGGTGTGGTAGCATGCACCTGTAATCCCAGCTACTGGTGAGGCTGAGACATGAGAATCATTTGAATCTGGGAGGCAGAGGTTGCAGCAAGCTGAGATCGTGCCACTGTACTCCAGCCTAGGTGACAGAGCAAGACTCTATCTCAAGAAAAAAAAAAAAAGAGGAAAGGCTTTCAGTTTTTCCCCATTCAGTATATTAGCTGTGGGTATGTCATATATGGCTTTTATTATATTGAGGGATGTCTTTCTATACTCAATTTTGTTAGGGCTTTTATGAGGAAGGGATATTGGATTTTATCAAATGCTTTTTCAGCATCAATTGAAATGATCATTTGATCATTTTTGTCCTTCATTCTCTTGATATGATGTATTACATTAATTAAATTGCATATGTTGAACCACCCTTGCATCCCTGGGATGAATCACACTTGGTCATGATGAATGATCTTTTTAATGTGTTGTTGAATTCAGTTTCATTGAGAATTT